GTTCATTTGGATGGGCCGTCTTTCTGAGTGGTCTAAACATTCTAATGGGTGTACCACAGGTTCTGCTTTGAGGTCCCACTTTTTTCGTCCAGTATAGTATCAAACAGCCTTAGGTGCATAATGTGGATGACAAGCTACTGTTACACTTTGTATGCGCGAAGGATAACGTGATGTATTGCTGCAGGCTACCTCCTATTAAGGAGGCGTTGTTTAATTACAGGTTGTTTTTAACATATATTCAGACTCAGGCTCTCTGAACTAAAGCTTCTTTTTTAATGTGGATAAACCAAGGTAGATGCTCTTCTAAAAAAGCTAAAAGACACCAGAGCCTGGTCTTTAGCATAATTGCCTTAACTACGCCAAGGGGAAAAAAACTTGGAAGTGGGTAACCTGCTTACAAATACCTGGCTATCTGGCTTGATGACTGTTCTCTCTTTTAAAACCTCTTGTCAACTCTAACCTGCTAAAAAAACTGAGCGTTAGGCAAGGGCTTTCTGTTTACAAAACAAGCTCCTGTTTTTCTCACTTGAGCGCCAGGAAAAGGCCCTTTTTACTGTGCCTGGACTATGGTGCATCTGTTTTATTATGAATGCACCGGCCAATACCCTGATCAAGTTAGATGCCGCCCCTACGCTGTATCACATTGCACTGACGATTTTGGGACAACTGTAAAGCATTAAAACCACTCAATGCCTACCCTGTGCAGCAAAGGGCAGGTGTTGCTTTCACTAAACATGCTACGGGAGGCTCAGGTCACTTGGTATCTTTTTATTTACAAAGCAATGTCTAGGAAACTTCCATCCTACATCTGGCTCCCCTGATCTCACGGCGTATGTGTAAATGGGCTACTGCCTGAGATCGACATGCCTGTTGTTTGTATTAAATGTGCCAACTGCTAGAGGACTTCTTAGGGCATACAGCTTTTAGATGCGCCAGCCTCCGTTCTAATTTGGAACAGTCTGCAAAAAGAATGGAAGTTGAGCAGCTTTGAGCTTCCATTACATGTTTTTAAAGCAAGGATAGATGCTATCCAACGGAAAACTTGTTGGTGATCTGTAAATGGCTACTAGCTATACAACTGTAGTCAATGCCTAAATGATGCCATATGATGCTTTCCTCTTTTGTTTTTCTGTCATGTTTTCTATTTCATGTGGAACCTACTTGACAAGCAGTTCACCATTGAAAAAGATGTCAATGGATCTCAATGGGGTTTTCACCTGATAAAAGGGGTTTTGAACTTGCAATTGATTTTGCAAAAAGTTTTTTTATTATTATATCAATAAACTTATAACTTTTTTTCTAACATAGGTAACATTTAAGCTGGTCTGTGGCCTCTTCCTGCTGCCTAACGATGCACATTTCCCCTCTGGTGGGACTAATAAAGGTATTCTGATTCTGATGTTTCTTTTGCCAGCGATCTTCGATGACAGCTGATAACCCAAATTAGTTTTGTTTAGTTTTGTCATGGTACAAAAAGCTCTTTCACCATTGTCCAAGAACCTCAAAAGATCTGCTTAATCACACAGTTTCGCTTTAAATCATCAAAATGTGTCTCATCTATAGAGGTTATTTATATGATAATAATACTTGGCATTAGTATTTTTTAAGTACGTGCTTACAGCCAGTGTATGGAAGCAACAAATGTCTGGCGGCATGTGGCACAGTGGACTAGTGCGTTGGTGTTCGGATCAGGGGAGCACAGGTTCAAACTCCACTGCAGTCAGCCTGTTGTTGTGTCCCTGGGCAAGACTCTTCACCCCAAATTGCTCCTGTGGGGAACAAAGTGTCTAACAAGTGACATAATGTTTTTAACCCAAAAAACAACCAAATGTGTCCCCCCCACGGATGTGTCGAAAGTGAGTGACCTGAATAAAGAATCATAAAAACTAATTCTCGTTGGTTTCATATTCCTTGTTGGCTAAAAACGTACCTTAAAGGTCGGGTAGGTAAGTTTGAGAAACCGGCTCGAGATACACTTTTTGTTATATTCCATGGAATGCTCTTAACATCCCGATAGCAATGAATATCTTAAGTGCTTTGACAAAATATCCATAAAAAAATTTCATCTGTGGAAGCCGTGGTACTGTAAAAAGCACGACCAATCATTTTAGCTGGCCCGCCTAAAATAACTGGATGGCCTACCTGCCTGTCAGCCTTCCATCTGTGCACAAACTTATCTCGTGCCGTCATTGGTCTGCGCGTTATTGTGTGTTGGAGGAGGGGCTCTGTAAGGAAGTGGCAGATTTTTTTCCGGTTGTGTATTTTCAAATTCTAGCGCACTCGAGCTGGTTTCTCCTAAATTACCTACCCCACCTTTAAGGTCCACTGTTCAGCTACTGTTCTAGAAGTTTGTGTAGTTGTAAGATAATGGAGATGAACATTCTTCAATTGTAAAAAAAATGCTTAGAGACATTGGCGAGTCAAGGTTGTTTTTAACCAACTGAGAAAATATCTGGGTCTGTTGGCTTGCAAAACTATAAGCGCACTTGTCTACTCTACTACATTTTGGACAGGAAGTGAATTCTACAACTGGCTCATTGACTCTATATCCCTATTGGTCTTGACGGGCCAATTAACAAAAAGAATGAGCTGTAAAGTGGGTGTTTATATTTCACCATGTGTTTTATTTAATATGTTATTTTATTTTTCGGTACTGATCATCTCATCCCTTATATTGAACTTAGATTTTTTTTTTGTAATCAGTTTGAACTAATATTTCCTGATATCCTTCTCTGTCCGACTCTTATTTGTCTTTCTCTCTCTTTTATCTTATCGCTGCACTTTGCAAGCAGCCCCACCTGGCAAGGAGCCGTGGAGTGTCCCTAAACAAACAGACGTCAAATCGCAGTGAGTATACAGATATTTGCTCGAAGCACTGTGTTTGAAACCAGTCGAACAGCAGTTTAATTTTGTGCAAGCTCAATTTCAGTTCTAGTATATTGCTGCCTGCAGGAGGGAGCAGTGCTGTTCACTTGCTTTTAATGTGAGTCCAAACCAGCCTGAACAGGAAGGGTTTTTGCATAAATGTGATGCTA